TGCCATAAAAAACCTGGTATGATGTGCTTGTTGATTCTTATGAGATGACAAGTCAGTACTTAGGTCTACGGCTTTTAATCTTTATGATTTTTGAAGATAAAAAGTATTTTAATGCCACTATTTGATTGAAATGTGTTTTGTCCTGTTCCAGGACTACCCCATTATGAGGGACATAAGTCATCCAGGATGACAAATCTATCCTTGAATCTGTATCGTTTCGCTTTTTTTTTTTTTTTTTTTTTTCAAAAAGAAAGGTCGGTTTGTCGTAAAACTACCATTGTTTACTACTAACATCAACAGATTCGTTTTATAATAGTTAATTCGTATCTGTATCTGTCGAACCTCCGGTCTACATCGTCTCGCAGTATTTGGGAATAATCTAAAACTAGTTAGCGCGTTTTCTCTTTCACATAGGATTTTATCCACTAGGCGAGAGACACCGAGCTGACGAAAAATAGCTGGTAAACTTTCCATACACGGTTTCCAGTTAATTCGCCGCAACGAGAATAGCCGGGTTAATTATGAGAGGTTAATCCCGCAGGGAAACGGCTAATCCAGGGGCTCCCGAAATGGCACTGGACGTTGAAGTTCATTATCCGGAGGCAGCCGCATGGGCTTAGCTAAAATTGGCCAGATTAAAGCCAATATGGGAAAGTTCTATGAACGATCGATAATTTCCGATCGGGGTTCTACGTTTTTGTTTTGTTTACCTCCCTTGGTTTTCTCCCAGTAGTGTATTTGGATTATAGCTGTGGATTATCGAGATCGCTTATTGTTAGTCCAGTCTGTGATAGTGACGACTGTCATTCCTACTAAAGGTTGCATGACGTACCAACAGACCTAAGACATTAAAGACACTAAAAGATTTAATTTAATCAAAATTGTTGAGCAGAAACAAAGAATTTTAAAGAAAAGTTAAAGTTAACAATGGACACCTACGAAGCGTAACAAATTTATCCAGCCATGGAGGAAAGATTCCAGTTATACAAAGGTCAAAGGGTCAAATCTCATAACGCGTTGTAAATCCCAGTCTGGAATTATTATATATTAGAAAACATACAATTCAACAATTGGAACCGAGTGGCAATCGATGGCTAGTTTTCTCGAAATCAAACTGATTCTGTCAAACCAAATCAAAATTCGGCCAAAAAAGCTGAAAAAAAAACATTCGTCTATAGTCAGATTTCAGTACAGGTTATTATAGAAAAAAACGAGCTATGAAAATACCCCCTTCTGAGTATTTTGAGGGAAAATCTTTGGAAGTAAACGTCAAAGCTGTCTTTTGTCTCGAAATTCAACTTGAAAATAATGATGCGTTCCTTTTAAAACAGAACGAACGAGTGCATGTATATGTCAAGTTTGTTTGATTATTGTTGAATAATAAATTTTCATAAAAATAAACCGTCTCCTACTTGAACCTGAAGTCTGATTTTATGAGATGACCTCTGCCCTTAATTAATCGAGATAAAATTAATTGATGTCGATTTTTTTATTGGCTATTATGGGATGTTAAAATATTTTTGAATAAAGAAAATTGCAAGCTGCCTTAAATTAAAATTTGAAGTTTTAAGAATTTTAATAGAAGATCAAAAAATCATTTTATTCTCGAAATTTCGAAAAAACTTGGGAAAAATTCAACGGTGTGTCGAATGAAATGATTTCTTCCCTACCGTTCCAAAAGAAATTTTAACTTTTTCGTAGTACCTTAAATTCTTAAGTACGGTTCATTTTTTTTCAAATTTGGTTAATTTTATGCTCGTCTTTCGTCGTTTAATATCGGCAAAAATTCACTCCAGGGAGAAAAGCGAGACCAAGGCTACTTCCGAGGACGGTGAACGGAATCGTAGACAAAATACTGCGCACTTGCACTTCAACGCACTTGTTTGTTGACCGATCCGAACAATAAACAAACACAGTGTAATTGAGAGAAAATTTTTAATTTCTCCGGTAAGCACACTTGCTTAGCAATGACAAGTTCAACGACTTTAGTCTCAGATATGCGAATTCCATGATATAAACACTTCCTTTTATTTACGATGATGTGCAAAGTTCAGTTTATTAAAAAGACAATCAACAACACTGTGTTAGCTTCGAGACTACACTAGTTTCTTGAATTCGGACCTTGCTACAATAGAATACTAAGATTAGGTCAAGAATAAATTCCAATAGGCATCCCAGGACAGAGGCGTGTGAAAACGTTCTTCAAAGGGCAATAACAGAAACAAACGGCAAAATTATGACTTGTTTGGACTAAAATGATTCTGGAGACATTTGTATAAACCCGGAGCAGAATCAATTTGCGTCGATATTGCCAGGAAAAAGAAGTACAACAATTGGCGCTGCGATTCCAACTCCTGGACGAGCAAACTCTCAGGCCTGAAGGATACGCGAAAGCCCTTAACAAAGCTTTCGGATCTAGTAACACGCATTAAGCCTAACGTGTAAACCTTGTAATTACCTTGTAATTGTAAAAATTGTAATAGTAAGGAGGCAGACAAGTACTTAACTTTTATGAGAAAGAATTGTTAATTGCAAGCAGCATGGTACATGAAATATGGGAGGTTAGATCCTGATGTTAGCCAACTAGTTCTACATTGTACTGTTCGAAGCTCTTGTTGTTTGCCTGAACCTTTTTTAAGCTAATTCATTACCAACTATAACAGCATACTCTGGGACCTAGAACTATATGACCCTCCATATTTGCTGGTTTAATCCTTGCAAAGCGGACTGAGTCCTTGTATTTGATCAATCCTCAATCCTTGTATTGATATTTTTATCTTCACAAATTATACCAACTCCAACCCTGCCTGGGCTTTTGCAACCGAGTCCATTTGTGAAAAGCTTGATTTTAATCTTAAGGTACTCTTGTTTTCCACAATAATATAGCATATTTAGCAGCCTACTAATTCTCTGCTGTCCTACGTCTTCTTTGGTTGGTTGCCTGAAGCGTTTTCTAGTAGCTATATCTGCCAGCTATGATAGCATGGCCATGAACCTAGGAATATAAGACTCTCTTTTCTGAAATAGAGAGCATAGTGCAAGTAAGGATTACATAAGATTCAATGCTAACCAGACAGTGATTTCTTGAGGTAAACTCTTAAGATCTTTACAAATGCTTGCTTTTAATCTCACGGTAGTCTTAAGGATTTTTAGCAGTCTACTAAATCTCTGTGATATTGTACTATTTTTCAGTTATGTGTGAAGTTTCTTCTAGCAGTTATATTTGCTAATTCATTGACAGCATTTCCTAGAGCCTAGGAACATATGAGAGAGAGAAAATACTTAATCTGGGACTAGAGACCCCTAAGAATAACAATAAAGTCACAAAATTTGACATATCTGGCACTTGCGTTAATGAAGGTTTGTCTTTAAAGTAAAGTGAAAAAAGTTGAACTACATCAGAGTACAAATTATAAAAAGTAGAAATAATCAGAATTTAGAGAAAAGTAGTCTAATAATAAAGAATTTTCTGTATTATGCGAACTTCGAAACTGCGAAAATCACTAACTCTAAACTTAAAAGTTGAGAAAAGGAAGGTAACAAGCTTTCTAATGTAGCAAAAGCACCTAATAATATTGTGAACTATTTTGTCTCCGTTTGGAGGAAGATGAGGTGTGGTTCAGAAGGGATTGAAAAGAGGTAAGGGAGGCAGCTTTGCGGATGGGAAAAGGAAGAGAATTCCAGAGATTTGTGTTTCGAACTAGGAAGGATCTCCCAAATGTTTATGACGATGAAGGAATAGGTCATTGGGAAACGAGTGAGTGTTAAGAGAAGAATATATAACCCTCCATATTTGTTGGAATAGAATACCAAGATAACTTATAGATAAATAAAGATTTATTAGGTCCAAGCAGCTTGGCATTTGAAATATGTCAGTTGAAACTATCTGTTTCGGTTATTGAAAGTTGAATAATTTCTTGAGATAGAAACTTATGATTGTCACAGATAACGCAATTCTGGGCAATTGGAACCGACAAGACTTGCTTTCAATTGCTAGGTACTTTGTTTGTGTACATTGCATAAAGCAACTTCTGCAGTTTCATCCGTATAACAAAAACGAATATTTATTGGAGGGATGCTAAAGGACATTCTAAGGGCATACCACGTAATGTTTACGACTAAAAGTGTGATTTAATGATTTGCAAAGTAGATAGGAGAAATTTTGATCTTAACAGATGGCACCAGGTCCAACCAAGGCCTAAGGGCGGTATTTTGACACGTGACATTAAATCCAACACCGGCTTGGCTTTCGGAACTATCCTTTTCGACTCTTGTTTGTACATATAACCAGGTCGGATTTGTTATGTTTAGGTAAGTAAATAAAGAATGGTGGCTTTGAAAAGAGCCATGGAGGAAAGGATGTGTTTGTCTCATTCTGCCAAGGTGAGGGTGTTTCCATCTGACCCTGTGTTGGCTTGTGGAAGCACCAGGGAAAAGATTGGGTGGTTTTGAAGGTGAACCAATAATGTTTTGTGAAGTATTTCATATTGAAAAAATTCTTCAATATTTAAGCGTTAAAATTGACAAGGTAAAGAATAGAAAGAGTCGTTCCTTTTAGAAGGAAATAATATCGCGATGTCAAAGAAGGTAAAAATCGTCCTATTATACGACGGAAGTGAAATTGTAAATTCACGTCAGGATGACTTACGGTGGTCATAACTCACTCTAGCTCAATGGAAAAATTGAAAAACAATCCGACTAAGCGGTAAGTCGGTCTATTCTATTAGAAAAAGAAAAAAATTATTGAGTAAAACACCGTTGTGTTTATAATTAATCAGGACCGAGGCAAATCAAACACGATACGCCGTGATATTCCGGGTTTTGAACCGAAGGATAAATGCATCGAAATCCGCCATAATCGGCGCTGTAAATGCAATCGGGACTAGCCGACCTCCAAACACTTTTAGCTCGGAACGCTTCCATACGCCTTTTTTCTTTTAACGAATTGTCCTCAATCTATTAATGTTATGAAATTTCTATTTTGTCCTTTTTATTTTCAGGAGAAAGCGCGGCGGAGACAAGCACCTCATCTCCGGATTTTGGTGGACCGGGGTCCCCATGTAAGATGGAACCGCCCTCGGTTACGCCGCCTCCCATTTCCAGGTATATAAATCAACTTTTTTCTTTTTTGTAAGAAAGAAGACAAATAGAAAAATAGGTCAGATTAGATTAGCCGTTGTAATGACGTTGAGGAATATTTTTTTAAAGCAATTGAAATCCCTACAAACTCGCGCTCGCTCTTTCTGTTATCTATAATTTAGAAATTTTTGATGTACTTGTAAATCTCTTCGTAGCTCACTCTCTCAGTCTGTCTATCTAGCTATTGCGTCTTTCTTCTTACTCTTTCTCTTATCTCTATTTCTACTTTAAACTAACTCTTCCCTTCTACTTCTCTTCCCTATTCTCGCTCTCTTCTTGCACTTTCTTTCTCTTACTCTTTCTCTCCCTCTCTTTCTCCCTCGTTCTTTCTCACGACCATCTATCTATCTCTATCCAACTACCTCTATTTTTTGTGTGTGTACCTTCTTCGATGCTTGACTGGTTTCTTCGTCAATTTCGTTATTTTTTTATGCCTGTGTTCCTAACCTCAAATTTTGTTTTACTCATGGTATACCCTCTCCATCATTACACTTTTTCTATTTCTCTCATCTGTTCCCACTCTCTTTCTTCCTCCTCTCTCTTTCTCTCTCTCTCTCTTTCTCTCTCTCTTTCTCTCTCTCTCTCTCTCTCTCTCTCTCTCTCTATCTATCTATCTATCTATCTATCTATCTATCTCTATCTATCTATCTATCTATCTATCTATCTCTATCTATCTATCTATCTATCTATCTATCTATCTATCTATCTATCTTTCTTTCTTTCTTTCTTTCTTTCTCTCATACTGCCCCTGTCTTTCTTACGATCGTTTAGATATTTTCCTCTTTCCTTCTCTCTTTCCAAATTGCACCTTTTCTGAACTTTACAACAAAACGTTAAATCGACTCGTCACTCGTAACGGGGTAAAAGAACAGTTTGAGGGGATCAGGGACAATTCGATATTCCGATCGTCGTTCGTTATTCATTCTGGCGATAATTAGGCCGGTTTCCAATGCATTTTATCAAGTATAGAATCGAAAAATTGCAGGTGTCGGACTTGGACGTTTTATTACATATTTACGACTTGTGGAAGACTGATGGTGAGAAACGATTCTAGGCGGACCCGAATTTCCTAACCGGTGTTACAAAAAGTCTTCCAGTTCCAATTTTTTAAATTATTAATATTGAAAGAGTTAATGAGCAGTAAAATGTAGTATTTACAATGTAGATTGTTCTGTGTTCATTTCTAAAATATTTGCTTCACATTATTTCAGTATGCTGCTTGTTATTTATTTTCAACTTATATCGTCAGGATTTTGAGAAGATTTTTCAACTTTTTTTCAGCAACCCCGACGAATTCAGCGAACAGTGTTGTGCGTCGTCGCCGGATTTGGGGGGCGCGTCATCACCCCGGAAAATCGAACCGCCCTCAACGCCACCACCTTCAACAAGGTAAATTGAAAAATTTTGAAATTTACCCTTTTTTCAAATCGGAGCTGTCAATTGACAACCAGATAATTTATTAAAAACCAAACAAAAATAGCAATGCCTTTAGCACACACTAATCTTCTTTTAAGGAAGGTTCGGATGCATTCCCTTTTAAAGGAAGAAGAATACATTAAACTAATCTGGAATGTTAATTTATTTCCGTTTTAAAAGTATATCTCGATAGCTTTTGATTTACTCGACAAATATCCCACTTAAGTAAAAGTACATTCGCCTTGGAAAGTGACCTCTAGGGGACTATGAATTTTTTTAAATAAAAGAGCTTCCGTACTGATTAACTCCGAAAAAGGCAAACACCGTTCGTCTCTAGTTTAATCGTGTTCACTTCTCGAAAGGACTTATCTATAAAATTCCGATAAAATATAAATCATAAAACTTTGATGGAAGCGCATTAGGACGTTAATCCCTCCGGTGAATGTCGTCGTGATTTGCCCTATCGGGGTTAAGGACGATAGTCCGAAAATAATTATCCTTTAGCAAAAGCGACACCCAGTTTAACGAAAATGTGAACTGAAAAGGAATCGGCCGTGACTCGAATTTGGTATTTGGAAGAGTTCCTTTACCTCGTTGCGAAGGTCAAGGGCCCGGGTTTTAAGGGATATTTCAAAAATGTCGTTCCTATCCATTTTCGACCAATTGTGAGGCTATTGTTAGCTTAATTGACCCTCTCTGAGACAATTACGACGACCAACTGTAAATAATATAATAACTTAATCTAATAGATTTTACACACACACAACCTTTATTCTCAGCATAGTACAAGTGAACTAAGGAACAGACACACGTAGGGAGACTTATTATTATTTACATTATATTTAGGACTTGCGAAGTAATTCCTGCTGTATAACATTTACATAATATTACCAATACACTTAACGTAAAACAGAAAAAATTTGGTCATCCGGGCCGGATCAAGTTTTTAGCAATTCACTCCATATAAAATCTCATTTCTAGTAGAATTATACAGTGAAAGTAGAGAGTGTGAGTGAGTTAGAAAGAAAGAGAGAGAGAGAGAGAGAGAGAGAGAGAGAGAGAGAGAGAGAGAGAGAGAGAGAGAGA